TGATACATTTCCCTTGGCATCATTCGAGCCTTTGAATAGAGAGCTATTTCTGGATTTTTCACATACACAAGACAATCTATTACCTTTTTTTCTCTGTACTAGTTTGAGTTGTGTTTTCTGTCACTTAATTTGTAGTTTTAATGACTAAAGAAATTGGTACCAGGAGTGGGGTGGTTGTCAGGCAGACAAAATCCCACAAATATCTACCCCCGAGCTATAAAAAACAGATTATGGAAACAGAAAGCATTTACCGAGAAAGGAACTTTAACCTCAACTGACCTAACCATGTCATTTTATTAATAAGTAAATAAACTGACTCAGTCAATATGTTCTCTCTCTCTTTTTTTAGGGACAAGGTCTTGTTTTCTCACTCAGGCTGGAGTATAGTGGTACAATTATACCTCATTACAGGCTTAACCACTTGGGTTCAAATGATCCTCCTGACAGCCTCCAAGTAGCTAGGACTACAAGCATGCACTTGTAGTTAGGAGGATCATCAGTCCCAGCAAATAATTTTTTTTTTTTTTTAGAGATGGGGACTTGCCATGTTGCCTAGGCTGCTCTTGAACTCCTGGCCTCATGATCCTCCTGCCTAGCCTCCCAAAATGCTGGAATTACAGGCATCATGAACCACACCTGGCCTCAAAATACTTTCACTAAATGAGCCTTTCTCTTCTTTTTCCTTTCCTCCTACCTTTTCTTTCTTTCATCCCTTCTCTCTCTTTCTTTCTTTCTTTCTTTTTTTTTTTAGACAGAGTCTTGCTCTGTCACCAGGCTGGAGTGCAGTGGTGCAATCTTGGCTCACTGCAGCCTCTGCCTCCTGGGTGCAAGCAATTCTTCTGCCTCAGTCTCCCGAGTAGCTAGGACTACAGGTATGCACCACCATGCCCAGCAAGTTTTTGTATTTTTAGTAGAGACAGGGTTTCACTATGTTGGCCAAGCTGGTCTTGAACTCCTGACCTCAGGTGATCTGCCGGCCTCAGCCTCCCAAAGTGCTGGGATTGCAGGTGTGAGCCACTATGCCTGGCTGAAACTTTATAGGTTGGGTTATTATAGCCCAGCACCAACATTTGCAGGAAAAGTAGTTTTTGAGAACACTCAAAATCAATACAGGGTATTGTGAAGCTTTGCCAATAGAAATTGGACCCCATTCATGATGTAGATGAATAACTTCACTTATTTATTCCTTGAATTTTTTTTTTTTGAGACAAAGTTTCAATCTTGTCACCCAGACTGAAGTGCAATAGCACGATCTCAGCTCACTGCAACCTCTGCCTCCCAGGTTCAAGCAATTCTCCCGTCTCAGCCTCCTGAGTAGTGGGGATTACAGGTGACCACCACCACGCCCAGATAATACTTGTATTTTTAGTAGAGATGGGGTTTTCCTATGTTAGCCAGGCTGGTCTCAAACTCCTGACCTCAGGTGATCCACCTGCCTGAGCCTCCCGAAGTGCTGGGATTACAGACGTGAGCCACCATGCCCAGCCCTTAAATATTTTTTGAGCATGAGAAATGTGTTAGGTATTGAGCTGGATGATGGGTATAGAGCAGAGAACAGAATCAGCAAGGACCATACCCTCAAGGAACTATGTGTCTACTGGGCCAGGTATTCAATAAACTAATAATTTTATACAAATAAATATTATTATTATTATAATAGATAATGTAGATAAAAAGTGCAAGGTGATACAAGTCAATATAAAAGGAGAACCTGTCCTTATATGACATAATAAGAGGAGGCGTCCATGAGGAAATGGCATTTAAATTCAGACCTGAAGGACAGTGGAAATTTGCCAGGTGAAAGAAGGTGCAAGGCAAGGTGTAGAATTCCAGGGACACGCAAAAACCCTGGGGGAGGAAAAAAGCTTGGATAAAGAGAAAACAAACCAGCATAAATGGAAATTAGTGTAGTTGGGGAGAGTAACTCAAGATGAGAAGAGAGAGATAGGAGGTAGATTATACAGGGACTTCTGAGACATTTGTGTTGTTTTTCTTTTCTTTTCTTTTTGAGATAGAGTCTCACCCTGTCACCCAGGCTGGAGTGCAATGGCACGATCTTGGATCCCTGCAGCCTCTGCCTCTTGGGTTCAAGTGATTCTCATGTCTCAGCCTCCCAAGTAGTTAGGATTACAGGTGTGCACCACCTGTAGCCAGGCGTGCATACCTGGATAATTTTTGTATCTTTAGTAGAGATTGAGTTCACCATGTTGGCCAGGCTGGTCTCAAACTGACTTCAGATGATCCACCCACCTTGACCTCCCAAAGTGCTGTGATTACAGGCATGAGCCACCATGACTGGCCTCTGAGACATTTGGAAAGGGGTTTAGGCGTTATACTAAGAGCTAAGGGGAATACGGGGTGGGGGTGGGTTATGGTTTAGAGGGAACCAGAGTGAATGTAGAGACAGAAGAGAGACATAAGGCACAATACAGGCTGGAGATGACAGGGACTCAAAGAATTCTGAGCAGAGATAGCAATAAAGATAAAAAGAGGAAGCTGACTCAGTTAATATTCAGGAGGTAGACATAGTCTATTCTCTTTTTTTCCGTGCTAGTTCGAGCTGTGTTTGCTGTTACTGGAAATTCAAAGGGGTTTAACTTACCACAGAAATTGGTACTGGAAGTGGGGTGGTTTAGTGGCGAAGTGATGACAATGATGTAAAATAGGGGGAGGAAAGAGACAAGGATAATGGCCAGGTTTCTGGGATGAAGCACGGGGTAGGTGTTGGTGACATTTACGACTTAATGGAATAATGAAGAAGGAGAAGGAAGGGAAATACTATGAGATTGTGATGAAAGAGAGGGAACCTGCTTTTGAACTGTGTTCCAACTAAAGGACTTGATTAGGAAGCAGACAGAAACAGGATTGTAGTGAGAATTGCAAAGTACTGCAGCCAGTGAGTCACGCTTTGCTGCATAAGTTCCTCTAAAAAGATAAAGAGGGCAGAACTTCTGCATATGAACCCTCTGGTAAGTAAACATAGGACACCATGGTAGGCAGGTAGGTAGGCAGGAATTGTCATTCCTTCCATTTGATATTTTAAAAATCTATTAGTCATTTATTTAGTGGCGGCAGGTGCCACAAATATTTTAAATATTCTGAAATTTCATGTTTTATTAATTTTTTTGATAAAGGGTGTCATTTTGTCACCCCGGCTGGAGGGCAGTGGTGCAATCTGGGTTAACTGCCAGCCTCAACCTCCTAGGCTCAAACGATCCTTTCATCTCAGTCCCCACAAATAACTGAGACTATAGGCACACACCACCATATCCGGCTAATTTTTTGTGTTTTCAGTAGAGACTGGGTTTCACCATGTTGCCCAGGCTGGTCATGAACTCCTGAGCTCAAGTGATCCGCCCGCTTGGGTCTCCCAAGGTGCTAGGATTACAGGTGTGAGCCAGTGTACCTGGTCTCATGTTTTACTTAAATGCACCCAGATTTTACCTTTTTTTTTTTTTTTGAGATGGAGTATCACTCTGTCACCAGGCTAGAGTGCAGTGGTGTATTCTTGGCTCACTGCAACCTCTGCCTCCCGGGTTCAAGCAATTCTCCTGCCTCAGCCTCCTGAGTAGCTGGAACTACAAGGGAGCACCACCATGCCCAGCTAATTTTTGTATTTTTAGTAGTGACGAGGTTTCACTATGTTGGTCAGAATGGTCTCAATCTCTTGACCTTATGATCCGCCCACCTCAGCTTCCCAAAGTGCTGAGATTACAGATGTAAGCCACCTTGCCCAGCCCCAGATTTTACTTGTCTACAATAATAATGTAGACATGATCATAAGGCATGCTTTTAAAATTAGCAAGTGGTTTGAATCAGCATTATGCTAAAAGTCTTATTTTTATATCTCTTGTTTGTCATACTAACCCTGATAAGGTAGATATTTTAATGTCTGTTGTTTCAGGCACAGAGAGGTTAAGCTACTTCTACAAGGTTATACAACTAATAATTTATAAGCTAGGATTTGAGTCCAAGTTTGTCTGAATATAGAACCTTTTTTTTTCCTTTTGAGATTGAGTCTTGCTCTGCTGCCTAGGCTGGAGTGCAGTGGTGCAATCTTGGCTCACTGCAACCTCCACCTCCCAGGTTCAAGCAGTTCTGCCTCAGCCTCCCGAGTAGCTGAGATTACAAGCACTCACCACCACACCCAGCCAATTTTTGTATTTTTAGTAGAGGTTTCGCTATGTTGGCCAGGCTGGTCTCAAACTCCTGACCTTATGATCTGCCTGACTCGGGTTCCCAAAGTGCTGGGATTACAGGTTTGAGCCACTGTGCCCAGCCTTATTATTATTATTTTGAGATGGAGTCTCGCTCTGTCACCCAGGGTGGAGTTCAGTGGCACCATCTCAGGTCACTGCAACCTCTGCCTCCCAGATTCAAGTGATTCTCCTGCCTCAGCCTCCTGAGTACCTGGGATTACAAGCACACACCAGCATTTCTGACTAATTTTTGTATTTTTAGTAGAGATGGGATTTCACCATGTTGGTCAGGCTGGTCTCAAACTCCTGACCTCTTGATCTGCCTGCCTCGGCCTCCCAAAGTGCTGGGATTACAGGCATGAGCCACTGCACCCGGCTTTCTTTTTTTTAGACGGGGTCACTCTGTTGCATAGGCCGGACTGCAGTGGTGTGGCTCACTGCAGCCTTGACTTCCTTGGCTCATGATCCTCCCACCTCAGCTTTCTGAGTAGCTGGACTACAGGTGTGCACCACCGCACCCACCTAATTTTTAAATTTTTTTCTGAGAGATAGGGGCTTGCTTTGTTGCTCAGGTTGGTCTTGAACTCCTGGCCTCAAGCAATCCTCCAGCTTCAGCCTCCCAAAATGTGGTGTTACAGGCATGAGCCATGGCATCTGGCTTAGTCAGTTATTTTTGATATGTGTACTAGCTAACAAGTTAGGCGCTCGATTTTGTTAAATATAAAATGTAGGAACATAGATAAATACTTTTCACATTCTTCAAACTCTTTATATTAAACAGAAAACACCATTAAAATCAAATAACATTATAATATGGCATTTTAATAAACAAAGCAAATTTTAATGATGTTTAAAAATAGATTAAGCTAATTACTATACCAAATATTTCATTACTAGTTGTAAGAATTTAAATATTACTTATTATAAATGTTTAAACTTGCCATCTTACAAAAAAGAAACATACCTCCAAAATAATACCCAAAGACATGTTTTTAAAGCTTTTAATTTAAAAAAAGGTGACATTTTTAAAAAGACAAGACAGCAATTAAATCATAGTACTTGTATCCTTTTTTTTTGAGACAGAGTCTTGCTCTGTCGCCAGGCACCAGGCTGGAGGGCAGTGGCGCGATCTCGGCTCACCGCAACCTCCGCCTCCTGGGTTCAAGCAATTCTCCTGCCTCAGCCTCCCTAGTAGCTGGGACTACAGGCGTGCACCACCACACCCAGCTAATTTTTGTATTTTTTAGTAGAGACAGGGTTTCACCATGTTGGCCAGGATGGCCTCGATCTCTTGACCTCATGATCCACCCACCTCGGCCTCCCAAAGTGGTGGGATTACATTACCATGCCCAGCCTGCTTGTGTCCCTTTTAATTTGCCGTAATAATTCCTTTTCTTTGGAGTATTCTTTTTCCTGCTCATTTCTTTGCAACTAAAAATTACAAAAAAAAAATGCTTTCCAACATAAAAAAGGAATTCGGGGCCAGGCATGATGGCTCACAATTATAACTCCAGCACTTTGAGAGGCTGAGGCAGGTGGATCACCTGAGGTCAGGAGTTTGAAACCAGACTGGCCAACATGGCGAAACCCCGTCTCTACTAAAAATATAAAAATTAGCCAAGAGTAGCGGTGGGCGCCTATAATCCCACCTACTGGGGAGGGTGAGGCAGGAGAATCACTTGAACCCAGGAGGTGGGGGTTGCAGTGAGCTGAGATTGTGCTACTCCACTCCAGCCTGGGCAACAAGAGCAAGACTCCATCTCAAAAAATAAACAAAAAAAGGGCCGGGTGTGGTGGCTCACGCCTATATTCCCAGCACTTTGGGAGGCTAAAGCGGGTGATCACGAGGTCAAGAGATCGAGACCATCCTGGTCAACAAGGTGAAACCCCGTCTCTACTAAAAATACAAAAAAAAATTAGCTGGGCATGGTGGTGCACGCCTGTAGTCTCAGCTACTAGGGAGGCTGAGGCAGGAGAATTGCTTGAACCCAGGAGGCGGAGGTTGCGGTGAGCCGAGATTGTGCCATTGCACTCCAGTCTGGGTAACAACAGCAAAACTCCGTCTCAAAAAAAAAAAAAAAAAAGAATTTGGGGTCTCCTTGGGAGCTATAAACAGTGGGTGCAATTTTTCAGTGACAACACAAACATGTAAAACTGATGAAGCAGAAATTGTACCTGATTCTTACATGTTCATGCATATGGTGATACAAATACAAACATTTTATTTTGCAGACAAGAGAATATTTCCAGTTTTGGCCTGTGAAGAACAAAAACTAGGACAAAGCTTTCCGTCTGTCAGAGAAATCTCATCAGCTTTAAACACCACCAATGCAATTGTGAAATGATTTGACCTAAGGTTTAACTATCTATAATTCCTCAGTTCACAGGTACAACAAATGTTGGCTCCTCCTTTTCTGTGTGTGTGTGTTGATTGATTTTTTAAAAAAATCTGGAAAACTCTTTTTTTTTTGAGACAGAGTTTCGCTCTTGTTACCCAGGCTGGAGTGCAATGGCGCGATCTTGGCTCACTGCAACCTCCACCTCCTGGGTTCAGGCAATTCTCCTGCCTCAGCCTCCTGAGTAGCTGGGATTACAGGCACACGCCATCATGCCCAGCTAATTTATTTTTGTATTTTTAGTAGAGATGGGGTTTCACCATGTTGACCAGGATGGTCTCGATCTGTTGACCTCGTGAGCCACCCGTCTCAGCCTCCCAAAGTGCTAGGATTACAGGCTTGAGCTACCGCACCCGGCCTGGAAAACTCTTAACATAAAGATTTGGTTTAAGGATTAGAACTTAGTCCTACCTGCACAGGGATCCTTAAGTTCTGTCATCTTGCTACTAAAGCTAAGCTTCTTGGTACTACTCAGAAGCTTATGTCATAGACAGAAAAAGAAAGGCAAAAATGAAAAAGACGAATATGAAAAAGTAGGATAGAAAAAGAAAAACATAAACAATTTCCCTATAATTCTATTAAATGAGCATATGTCAGGCAGGCACAGTGACTCATGCCAGTAATACCAGCACTCAGGGAGGCCAAGGCAGGCGGATCACTTGAACTCAGGAATTCGAGACCAGCCTGGCCAACGTGGTAAAACCCCGTCTCTATTAAATGTACAAAAATTAGTTGGGCATGGTGGAGTGTGCCTGTAGTCCCAGCTACTCAGGAGGCTGAGGCATGAGAATAGCTTGAACCTGGGAGGCAGAGGCTGCAGTGAGGTGAGATTGTGCCATTGCCCTCTGGCCTGGGTGACAGAAAGAGACTCCACTTCAATAAAAAAAGAGAATATGTCCTGTGTTAGCTTGTGAAAGAAAGAAAGAGAAAGAAAGAAAGATTTGTGCTGTCATAGAACTTAACATTTCTGAATTTAGTGATGAAATCATGTTCATGTTGGTTTATCAAACACATTTAATTTATCTTTTATATGTATAAATATCAGATAATATTTATAAATAAATCTAAATTTGGGATGAATGGTGTCTTGTTTTCAGGCTGGGCTGGTTTGATTATTTTGTTATTAGAACATTATTTTGTTTTCAGTAACTGTGAATAACAATGTTTTGTATCATTTGGTTTGTTTTTGCTCATGAACACCATAACTGCAAATAAAGGAAATACTCTCAAATGCCTGAGCCCATATAAATACCCATTTCAACACCGAATTTGGTAAAAGTCACAATAATTTGCAACAGAAGCACTGAATGTGAAATAGACATATCCTATAAATAGTAAAGCTTGGAGCATTGCATCCAAAGTGCTAAATTGCCATTTTGGAAGTTGAAGAAAATCTTAAATTGCCTTTCTGGCCAGTTAATAATGGTTTAAATATTAGGATTTTCAATGTAAGTCATGATTTCTGAGATTTATACTGGAGAAACACTTAGCAAGAAAAATATTGTCAGCATTTCTAGCGACATTGCTGTTGAAAAACCTCAATCTCAATGCATACAAAACTACTGCCACATTTTGCTATCAGAAAGTGCTCTTGCCTTCTGTAATGGAACTCCATAGTTGTATGCATTAAACAGAAATTAAAAAGAAATGAGTAAAGAAGAAAACAGCAGGGAAGAGAGAAAAGGCAAGGCAGGAGGAGAGAAAATAATTGGCCCACCTTCTTCCGAGTATTCAATGTGGCAGATGGGGCAGCACCACCTTTGGCAAACTTTAGACCACAGAGTACCTGTTTTAGTAGGCCACTGAATTAAAATTTGTGGCTCCCAGATTTCAAAGGCAGTTAATATAGTAATTTGCTGGGAGTTACCAAAGGCAGAGAAAATATTGCTTCATGGTAATATCCTAGCTATGGAAAGTAATTAGCACTTGCAGGCAGTAAGGATTAGAAAAGCAAATTTTCCCTAAATTCTCTGCCAAATTCACCTAAAATTTCAGGATACAGCACAGGAATTCCAAGGCAAACAACCACACAAGATTCTGTTTTCACAGTCTCAAAATTCATCATTCTAGAATCTTCTAGGGTTATATCATTGACCTTTTCGGGCAACCCTTTTCTGCATAGTCAGACAAGTACCAGTAGTTGAGAGCTGTGGGTAAACTTGGCTCTCATAAAAAAGAAAGGCATTGTATTTGAAGTCTTTACAGCAGATGTTTTTGTGGGACTTACCAAAGGAGGGAAGGAAACTCTTTTCAATTTGTGAGCCATCAACAAATCTGAGTGCCATTTGTGTGTTTCACTGGCCATTCTGAATAAGTAGAAAGGAAACTGGGATGGAATTAGGAAATAACATTCCATTCTGGCTCTTTCACTAACACCCAATTTATGGATATATAAGATGTATTTTCCCCTATGCAAAAGACAATTCAAAAATTGCTCCATCTCCTACGTGTCCATATCACAAATGGAAGGCCTAGTACTAAAGTTACAAAATAATGATGCCACCTCTAGTGGTCAAATAGGGAAACATAAAACATAACATCAAAAATAAGAGTTTCCTATCGTAATGGTATTTTCCTTAACAAAAATAACAAATCACAGGGCAACTAATCATAAGGAAAGCATTACCCTAAAATTTTAGATTTAAATTTGTTACTACTATAATGACCTTGCATACCAAAACTGACTGACATCTATACAGTGCTGAGATTTTCATATCTATTTTTTTCAGGGTAAGACTTTTTTTGCTAATATAGCACCCATGATATCTTACTGGATTCTAATATATAGGATATCACATTTACATCAACAAGATAATATTTTTCATTTTATACTTTCAGATCATTGTCTCTATATAACAAAAGGTATTTAATATTTTAATTTCCAAAAATTTCTCTGTAAATAAGATGCATCAAACACGGACTTGTATGTCTTACAGAATAGCAATTATATTATGTTTATTTCTTTGTGTTACAGTTTCCCTGTTTACCTTATAGAGATGATTCAGGCCCCTACTAAATCTACCAGGCTGTTGCAAATATCAAGATCATTTACGCAGAAGTCATTTGAGAAAAATAAAGCATTATGCAAAACATTGCTACGCTGATACCAACTATATGAGTAACTAGGGATTAAGCCAGATCCCTTTGGGGAAGAGAATATTCAACTTCCTCCACTACAGTGAGGTGATTAAAGCCTGTACAGACCAGCTGGGTAATCCTAGGGGGAAAAAAATTGTTTAAAGAGACCTTTCTAAGCCTGGTAGGAAGTTAAATTTTCATGCCAAAAGAAGAAGCTGAACTATATATTCTGTACACATTAAATTTGAAGTTGGTCTCTGATTTCCACCCATTGCCCAAGAGTTTAAGAAAGAGAGATGACCACATCTACTCATGACTAACAGATTAAATGTTTTTGTCTGCAATAAACACAAAAATTACTGAATTTCCTTTCAGAAGCGCTAGTTGCATAGAAATTTATTACAATTTAGTCCTCCACAAATCAAAACAATTTTTTCTTTAGAAATACTCTCAGATTGGCTGGGTGCGGTGGCTCACACCTGCAATCCCAGCATTTTGGGAGGCTGAGGCGGGTGGATCACTTGAGGTCGGGAGTTCGAGACCAGCCTGGCCAACATGGTGAAACTGTGTCTCTACTAAAAATACAAAAATTATCCAGGTGTGAAGGCACACACCTGTAATCCCAGCTACTGGGGAGGAGGCTGAAGCATGAGAATCACTTGAACCTGGGAGGGGAAGTTGCAGTGAGCCAAAATCATGCCACTGCACTCCAGCATGGGTGACAGAGTGAGATTCCATCTCAAAAAAAAAAAAAAAGAAAAGAAAGAAAGAAAGAAAAAGAAATACCCCCAGATATATGCTTCATCCTTTAACATTGTCCAAGTAGTTGAAATTTGAATGCTCCTCTCAGATGTATTTTAAATAAAATTCTGTACATATAATCATCTTGTCTAATATTTTAGTCCCCTACATAAATATCTCAGCAAGAAGTCCAGCTTTTACTAAGATTACCTGTTTTAGATGTGTGTTAGCGTGGAAAATGCAAAAGTAGAGAAAAAAGGCTGGAAGGAACTGCATTAAAATGGAAACAATTTTTTCCACTGGTCAACAGGATTATGGCTAATCTAATCTTGATTTTGAGCCATTAACCCATATGCTCTACAAGTGTGTCTGTCTGTTTCACAAGTGTGTATTACTTTTATAATACGGGTGTGGGGAGTCAGTTGCATAGAAAGTCTCAGAAATGCTAGATCAATATAACACCTCAGGTGCCACTGAAATGGTCTCAGACATTTAGGAATTAGAAGGCTCACAAAAGCTACTTTCACAGCTAGCTCGACCTGTTTAAACAATGTTAAATGCATAATAATCTTTTTTTTTTCTTTTTAGAGATAAATAGCATTTTAGGAAAAAAAAAAAAAAAAGAAAAGCATATTCCCTTTTGGGAGCAACTGATTTGGCAAAATTTAACAAGGTTTTTAAAACTCAACAGTCGTGAAGCACCATTAAATATTCACACAAAAAGACCCAGGCAGCTTAAACATCACTATTTCCTTGGTCACAAGACACCTAATTGACTTGCAACAAGACAAAACGTTCAGTGTATCTGGTTGGGGCCAACATGGATGATGACGTGTTTCTCATAAGCCCTTTTCATTGTTTTCTCAATTTGCTTCAGAAAAACTTGCGGGATTCGTCCACATAAAGTGTGTACAGTCTCCAAAAACTTCAGCTGAAGCGGGTAATACATGGATTGAAAGAGATTGTCTTGAAAGGGAAACTGAAAGATGACAAAAAAAAGTTTATTTTAGTAACGGAAATACCATTTTAGATGCAGACCATTTTTACTAAGAAATGACACAAGACTTACGATAAGCACAGAGGCACAGGTTTTAATATAAGTTAAAGTCCTGTCTCAGCTGTGCAACCTCAGGTAATCATTTAAATTCTCTGAACCTCAGTTTTTTTTACCTCTTTAAAAAGAAAAAGGCGCCGGGCTCGCGTTGGCTTACGCCTGTAATCCCAGCACTTTGGGAGGCCGAGGCGGCTGGATCACGGGGTCAAGAGATCAAGACCATCCTGGTCAACATGGTGAAACCCCGTCTCTACTAAAAATACAAAAAATTAGCTGGGCACGGTGGCACGTGCCTGTAATCCCAGCTACTCAGGAGGCTGAGGCAGGAGAATTGCCTGAACCCAGGAGGCGGAGGTTGAGGTGAGCCAAGATCTCGCCATTGCACTCCAGCCTGGGTAACAAGAGCGACACTCCATCTCAAAAAAAAGAAAAAAGAAAAAGGCTAGGCATGGTGGCTTACACCTGTAACCCCAGCACTTTGATAGGACAAGGTAAGAGGACCACTTGAGCCCAGTGGCTGACACCAGCCTGGGCAACATGGAAAGACCCGTCTCATTAAAAAAGAATACTAATAAAAATTTTAAAATATAAAGATTTGCCAGGCACGGTGGCTCACGCCTTAATTCTAGCACTTTGGGAGGCTGAGGAGGGTGGATCACCTGAGGTCAGGAGTTCAAGACCAGCCTGGCCAACATGGTGAAATCCCATCTTTAAAAAAATAAATAAATAAATAAATAAATAAAAATAAAAATACAAAGATGTATTTGAGTCCTTAAGGCTCTTACAATCTAAAAATGATACATGTCTCTAAGGCCAGGAAAGTCCATATATAGTATGTTTATGCTGAGTAGAAGCAAGACTTAAGACTTCACTCATTTGAAATCTACTGCAACAAAACAATGAATTCTTCATCTTTTTTGCCTTTAAAGTAATTTTAGGCTGGTGCAGTGGCTCACGCCTGTAATCCCAGCACTTTGGGAGGCCGAGGTGGGTGGATCATGAGGTCAGGAGTTTGAGACCAGCCTGACCAACATGGTGAAACCCCGCCTCTACTAAAAATACCAAAATTAGCCGGGCATGGAGGTAGTGGTGGTTCATGCCTATAATCCCAGCTACTCAGCAGACTGAGGCAAGAGAATTGCTTCAACCTGGGAGGCAGAGGTTGCAGTAAGCCAAGATCGCGCCACTGCACTCCAGCCTGGGTGACAGAGTGAGACTCCATCTCAAGAAAAAAGTAATCTTAATGAAACTTTAGGGTATGTCTATGGTAATCTCATGAAGTTCAGAGTTTAGCAATTACTAGTAAAGTTTATTGGCAATAAACCATATTTTAGTAATTCAGGTACCAGATATTAGTGATTGTTTACTACTATCCTAATATTGGGCTTTTGAGATCATAATTTTTAAAAATCTTACGTTTTTTTCATGGAATATGTCTATGAGCAGTATTTCCCAAAATAAATCTTTCTGATCACTTAGTTATGCACATGTGTCAAAGTTTTATTACAATCTTGTTGAAAGGGAAAAAAGCTGCTAACAGATGAAGTCAAAGATCCATTCTTGGTCAGGACATTTATATGGAAAGACTAGTGAGAAAGGAAAGAAGAATTGGGTAAGGGTCAGTACACTCTTGCCTAACAGCAGAGGTGGGTGTCTGATTTCCGAGAACAAATCTTAATCCTTTTAAAATTCATCAGAAATACTGCTTACACAGTATTAGAGATGCCAATTTCTTCTCAGAAGGAGATTATGGATTATATAATACAAGAAGGTTCTGTCCCAGACCAAGTTTGGGATACCTTTTCTTTAATCACAAAATTTAAAACCATTGATAAATCCCTTGAGGCCAGTCCTGAATCTGTCCTTTTCACCACTGTAGCCCCAGTAATGGGAACAGGATAGTTCAAAACCTTGGCATCACCCTCCATTCCTCTCTTTCCCCTGACAACCCTCATCCAATTCATCAGAAAGTCTGGTAAATTCTATCTCAAAACATATCCGCAATATGGCCACTTCTTCTCATTTTCCTGCTACCACGCAAGCTCATGCCAGCCCCACTGCTCACCTGGGTGGCTACGATTAGGCTCACAAATAAATAGCCTTTGTGTTTTCACTCTCACATCCCTTGCATAAATCAGAGCCTATCGCTTTCCCGAAGGGGCTTTCCACTGCGGTTAGAATAAGATTCCAACTTCTTCCTTTTTTTTTCTTTGAGATGGAGTTTTGCTCTTGTTACCCAGGCTGGTGTAATGGCACAATCTCGACTCACTGCATCCTCCACCTTCTGGGCTCAAGCAATTCTCCTGCCTCAGCCTCAAGAGTAGCTGGGACTACAGGCGCGTACCACCATGCCTAGGTAATTTTTGTATTTTTAGTAGAGATGGGGGTTTCACCTTGTTGACCAGAATGGCCTCCATCTCCTGACCTCGTGATCCACCTGCCTCGGTCTCCCAAAGTGCTGAAATTACAGGCTTGAGCCACTGCACCCAGCCCCTTCTTCCTTTTTCTAAAGACTCAAGGTAATCTGTAAACTCTCCCCTCTCTTCCTTTCTCCTCTTACCTGGCCACTCCTGTCTTTCCAGCACACCAAATTCATTCTGGACTCTGGCACTTTCCCCTGGTTATTCTTTCTGCTTAATGGAATCTTCCACAGGGCTGCCTCCATCTGATAAGTCTAGGACTTACAAGCAGCCTTCCCGGCCCCCCTAGCTGGTAGAACGCTCCTTTCCAGCCCGGGACTTTGGACCCATCAGCCCACTCTTTTTACACCTTTTGAACTCCTTTCACTAACTCAGAGGATTTTTGTTTGTTGGTTTTTAGATAGGGTCTTGTGTCCCCAGGCTGGAGTGCAGAGGGGCAATCATGGTTCACTGCAGCCTGGAACTCCTGGGCTCAAGTGATCCTCCACCTCAGCCTCACAATTAGCTGAGGCCACAAGTACCTGCCACTGCACCTGGTTTTTTGTTTGTTTGTTTTCCTATAGAGGCAAAGTCTTGCTCTGTTGTTCAGGTTGGAGTATAGAGATGAAGTCCTAGCTCACTGTAGCCTTGACCTCCTAAACTCGGATCCTCCAACCCCAGGCTCAACCCTTCCCCACCCAGTAGCTGGGACTGCAGGCTTGTGCCACCAGGCTAATTTTTTTTTTCTTTTTATTCATTTTTGTAGAGACACATCTCACTATGTTGCCCAGGCTGGATTTTTCTTTGTTTTTTTCAATGAGTATTGTCTGGTTTCCCCAACCAGAATACATGCTTCTTGAAGACTAGGGCTTTGTCCATCTTATTACTTTCCAAATTCCTAGAAACTAGAATTGTTTCTGCATAAAATAGATGCTTCATAAGTGATTGTCAAGAGAATTACTGAAAAAATGTCTATGATAGATGTCTTCCTTGCAGGGAGGTTGCACTGCCCTTTCACATAAACATGTGACACACAGGGTAGGGTGTCTGTGAGCACCTGAAACAGAGAGAGAAATAGAGAGGGAACATTTTCAAAGAGATATAGAAAGAGAAAAAATATATATAGAGAAAATGTTTATAAGCAAGAAGAAAGTGAGAAATGTGAAAAAGCTAGGGAAAGTGTAAAATTGTTATCATCAAAACAACTTCTTTATATCTTTTTTTTCTGAGATGAAGTCTTGGTCTGTTGTCTAGGCTGGAGTGCAGCAGCGCAATCCTGGTTCACTATAATCTCTTCTTCCTGGGTTCAAGCCATTCTTCTACCTCAGCCTCCCAAGTAGCTGGGATTATAGGCATGCCCCACCATCCCCAGTTAATTTTTATATTTGTAGTGGAGACAGGGTTTTATCATTTTGGTCAGGCTGGTCTCAAACTCCCAACCTCAAGTGATCCACCTGCCTTGGTCTCCTAAATCGGTGGGATTATAGGTGTAAGCCACTGCACCTGGCTGAAACAACGTCTAATTATCGCATACACTGTAAGGCAGGCGCTGTACTAAAAGTGTAAAGACTGTCGTTTTGTTGAATTCTCACAACACTTCCTTGAGGTAGATAATCTTATTATCTCCACTTCACAAATGAAAAAGCTGAGGCCCAGTAAGGTAAGAGTACAGTTAATGGCGAATTACCAAAAAGTGACAAAACTGGGATTTTAACCCACCTGTCCAGGCCCAAAGGCAAGCTCTGTGCCCAGTGCAATAGCTCATGCCTATAATCTCAGCACTTTGGAGGCTAAGGCAAAGAGTTCAAGACCAACCTGGGCAACACAGTAAGACCCTGTCTCTGAAAAAAATGCATTCAAAAAAAAAAAAAGAAAAGAAATGAAAAAAATAAGGTATGCATTTGGTAGGGAGAATTCCAACTCCAGGTTCACAGCATTGTAGAGGATGGGGAAATACATCTTTTATGATACAGGCTCTTTATGTTTACTCACATTTTGGGTCAGGGTTAGTGATTTTTCTGATTAAATGTATGGGAATGAAAACTGTATTTTTAGGCCCAACTGAGGAAAATCGTGGAACGTACTAAGTAGAATCATTTATGAAACAAAGTTGTTCAGCCTTCTTTCTGACCCCCCGGAAAACAAACAAGATGAGTTGCAACTCAAGAACCACAACTGCTCAATCCAAACCAGGGGTGACAGATCACAAAAGAAATCCAAGAGTGGCTCTGACAGACATGTGGCTGCTGTGTATCATTTAACTTCTGCTTGTACTCCTGAGTGAGTTTGCCCCCAGAGTCAGTGTTTGAATATTTAAATGTGAGGACATCATTAAGCACAGAACAAATTTTCTGCATAATTAAATCACCCAGCCTTTGAAAACCAAACAGCAGGAAATGCAGAAGAAAAAGACGTTTCCTTGGATGCATGCTAAACACTTTCCCGTACAGAAGTCAACTCTGGGAATTTTTTTTTTTTTTTTTTTGATTTGGAGTTTTGTTCTTGTTGCCCAGGCTGGAGTGCAGTGGTGTGATCTCAGCTCACTGCAACCTCTACCTCCGGGTTCAAGTGATTCTCCTGCCTCAGCCTGCTGAGCAGCTGGGGTTACACCACCACACTCAGCTAATTTTGTATTTTTAGTAGAGATGGGGTTTTTCCATGTTGGTCAGGCTGCTCTCAAACTCCTGACCTCAGGTGATCCACCTGCTTTGGCCTCCCTAAGTGCTGGGATTACAGGCATGAGCCATCACCCCTAGTCAACTCTGGGAATTTCAGAGTTGGAATTCTCCAGGACTCACCCTACCAAATGCATACCTTATTTTTTTCTTTTTTTGAATGCATTTTTTTCAGAGACAGAGTCTTACTATCTTGCCCAGGTTGGTCTTAAACTCTTTGCCTCAGCCTCCAAATTGCTGAGATTATAGGCATGAGCTACTGCACTGGGCCTATTTTAATTAATTAATTGGGTTTTATTTATTTATTTATTTTTGAGATGGAGTGTCACTCTGTCACCTGGACTGGAGTGCAGTGGTGCAATCCTGGCTCACTGCAACCTCTGCCTCCCAGGTTCAAGCAATTCTTTGGTCTCACCCTCCCAAATAGCTGGGATTATAGGTGTGCACCACCATACCTGGCTAATTTTTGTATTTTTATAAGAGATGGGGTTTCACTGTGTTGGCCAGGCTGGTCTTGAATTTTTGCCCTCAAGTGATCTGCCCACCTCAGCTTCCCAATGTGCTGAGATTACAGGTGTGAGCCATCATACCCGGCCAATTTCATTTTTTTAGAGATGGAGTCTCACTATGTTGGCTGCACTGACCTCAAACTCCTGATCTCAAGCAATCCTCCCACCTCAGCCTCTTAAAGTGCTGGGATTACAGGCATGAGCCACCATGCTGGGTCTCTTTTTTTTTCTTTTTTGTAAATGCACATTTTTATACACACAAAAAATGTTACTATGTTATGGGATTTACCCCCACCTCACTTCTACCAAAGCCTTTTCATGAAACTTAAGCAAATTCAATTCTTAACAACAAAGCCTAATAAATTCTACATGTTTTATTTCAGAGGTTGGCAAACATTTTCTGTAAAGGAGTAGATGGTAAATATTTTAGGCTTTGTAGACCATATGTTCTTTGTCACAACTAATCATCCTACTTGTTACAGTGCCAACATGGTCATCGATAATACATAAATGGCCGGGCACTTTGGGAGGCTGGGATGGGAAGATTACTTGAGGCCAGGAGTTTGAAATCAGCCTGGGCAACAAAGCAAAATCCCATCTCTACCAAAAGAAAAATGACAATACATAAATGAATGGGTGTCACTGGTTCCCAATATGATTTTATTTAGCAGTGCTGAAATTTGAATTTCATGTAGTTTTCTTGTGTCATGAAATATATATATATTTTTTTGATACAGGATCTTGCTCTGTTGCCCAGGCTGGAGTGAAGTGGTACAATCATATCTCACAGCCTTGAACTCCTGGGGTCAAGTGATCCTCCTGCCTTAGCCTCCCAAGGATCTGAGATTACAGGCATAAAGCTTGCCTTATTTTTTAAATGTTTTGTACAGATGGGTTCTTACTATGTTGCAGTTTTCTTGAGGGAGTTGAATAAAGGGCTCCAGCCAGCCATGTTCATACACATACCTGCATTCCTACCCTATTTTCTCCTCTTCTCTCCCATCCCCGGCCCATGGGTCCATAAAGAGGCAAGAACCTTTTCTTCAGTGCCTCTTGGCAGTGAGAAGGTTCCTGCCATTTGTGCTGTATCCACTTGACTTTTTTTTTTTTTTTTTTGAGATGGAGTTTCGCTGTTGTTACCCAGACTGGAGTGCAATGGCATGATCTCGGCTCACTGCAACCTCCTCCTTCTGGGTTCAAGCAATTCTCCTGCCTCAGCCTCCCAAGTAGCTGGGACTACAGGCATGCACCACCATGCCCAGCTAATTTTTGTATTTTTAGTAGAGACAGGGTTTCACCATGTTGACCAGGATGGTCTCGATCTCTTGACCTCGTGATCCACCCGCCTCGGCCTCCCAAAGTGCTGGGATTACAGGCGTGAGCCACCGCGCCTGGCCCACTTGACTCTTATTGTACCCTTTGGTGGAGAAAAATGGAAGACTGAGGAGACAGGGCCTCTCTCTGCCGCTCACACGCATTTCTGCAGTTAAGCAAATGAAGGCTTGACTGCTATCTTCAGTTTGGCTCCTCTCCTAACTGACCACCCGGACCCCCGATTGAGGAACAGACTGGAGCTGGCAACCAGGCACCATATTTAGCTAGAACTGAATGATATCAATTTCTCTTTATTGTCTAATCTTTACCCTAATGTGTTACTTTCCACTATGGCAAAAGGCATAAGAGTTGTCTTTGTGACATGAAATTTCCTCCTAAAGTAGATGGGTCACACCTATAATCTCAACATTTGAGGAGGCTGAGGCAGGTCAATCAGTTGAGATCAGGAGTTCGAGACCAGCCTGGACAACACGGTGAAACCCTGTCTCTACTAAAAATACAAAAATTCGCCAGGCATAGTGGCATGTCCCTGTAATCCCAGCTACTTGGGAGGCTGAGGTAGGAGAATCGCTTGAACCTGGGAAATGGAGGTTGCAGTGAGCCAAGATCCCACCACTGCACTCCAGCCTGGGTGACCAAAAAACAGAAAAACACAGAAATTTCCTCTTCAAGTAAATTTACTTATGTACAAGATAATGAATGGTATATGTGGAAATAAGTCAAGTAGGTATGATATAGTACAAGGTGGCAAGTAGATATAGTGACAGACAGTGACTGAGATTGGGAATAACTGGTATAATTCTATGTTTTGGGAATATTTGGCCTTCAAAGGGACAGGTGACTAAAGTGCCAGTATTGCTTTGTACGGATAAGCACACCTACTAACAGCAGCAAGAACACACTTACATCCCGTATTGCTTCATAGAGTGCTTTGAATGTTGGTTGCTTATCATCATGGTAGACACCTCGGTTTCCGTGCAGAATAGAGACACCTTCATGCTCAGCCTCTCTGCAGTTGCTTCCATACATACAGTGATCGGGACGGTAGTTCCACTGGCAGGGGAATACATAGAGACACTCTGGTGGTGAAAATAAAAAGACATTTGTGCCCAAAGTCAGTGCCAGTTCTCAAGTGATTAAACTGTTTTTGCTAACTGTACACAACACATAATTTCAAGGTACAGGAGTGTAATTTTTTTACTCACATATCAAAATTTTGCCCCATTTGTCAAAATTCTGAGATCAAGAATTGAAGGGGCACACAGTGATGATGTAGGTTTCATCTAAAAAAGGAAGGAAGTATAGCATCTTAAATAAGAAGGCAAACACAGGCATCAGGTAGCCTGGGTCCAAATCCCAACTCTCTCACACAAAACCACTGAAATCAGTGTCTAATCACTTAACTTCCTGTAATTTCATTTTCTTATCTGTAACTGGGAAAATATGGCCACTATCTGATTTTGATGATTAAACTTTAAACACACATGTAAAATGCTTAGCAAGGTACCAAGCATACAGTAGTGGTTCAAGTGTTCGTGGTTGTACGGGCTGGATGTGGTGGCTCACACCTGTAATCCCAGAGTTTGGGAGGCCAAGGTGGAAGGATCATTTGAGGCCAGGAGTTTGAGACCAGCTTGGGCAACATAGTGAGACACCTGTCTCTACACACATTTTAAAAATTAGCAGCTTGGCCAGGTGTAGTGGTTCACGCCTGTAATCCCAGCACTTTGGGAGGCCAAGGCAGGCAAATCATCTGAGGTCAGGAGTCTGAGACCAGCCTGGTCAAAATGGCGAAATCCCGTTGCTACTAAAAATACAAAAATTAGCCAGGCATGGTGGCAGGTGCCTGTAATCCCAGCTACTTGGGAGGCTGGGGTGGGAGAATTGCCAGGAAGTGGCAGAGGTTGCAGTGATCCAAGATCATGCCACTCCCCTGGGCAACAGAAAACAAACAAACAATAAAAAATGAAAAAAATAATTAACTAGTCACAGTGGCACACTTGAAGCTACTTGAGAGGCTGAGATGGGAGGATTCCTTGAGCCAAAGAGTTAGAGGTTACAGTAAGCTATGATCATGTCACTGCACTCTAGCCTGTGACGGAGTGGGAACCTGTCTCAAAAAAAAAAAAGGATACATACAAAAATGTCAAAAATAGTGTTAGCAGTTGTAATCAACTCTTTGGAAAGGTTTTCTAAAATGGACAGATCTAAAAAAGAGGAGTCAAGATTAAGGTAAAGATTCCTCTTTGGATTAAGAACAAACCAAAAACAAAAGAAAAAAACCAGCAAAACCCCTACCTTCAGCCTGGTGCGGTGGCTCTTACATGTAATCCCAGCATTTTGGAAGGCTGAAACTGGCAGATAACTTGAGGTCAGGAGTTTGAGACCAGCCTGACCAATATGATGAAACCCTGTCTCTACTAAAATTGCAAACATCAGCCAGGCGTGGAGGCAGAAGCCTGTAATCCCAGCTATTCAGGAGGCTGAGGCACGAGAATCTTGAACCCGGAAGGTGGAGGTTGCAGTGAGCTGAGATCACACCACTGCACTCCAGCCTGGGTGACGGAGTGAGACTCTATCTCAGAAACAAAAACCAACAACAAAAAAACCCCCACCTACAACAGGAAAGAAAAAAACCCCAAAGCAAAAAGCAAAGACAAAAAAGCCCTATGCCAAGGTAACCACATGCACCGTGACCATATGTGCACATATGTACATAGGTGTGTTTGTGTCTTTAACCAAGTGGTTCTCAACCAGGGGCGATTTTGCCCCCTCCCTGCTCCTCTATCCCAGGGCCATTTGGCAATATTTGGAGGGAGACACTGTTGGCTGTTATACTTGGGGGAGGATGCTACTGGCATCTAGTGGGTGCTCTGAACATCCTCTAATGAACAGGACAGTCTCCCACAATAGCAATAGTGCTGGTGTAGAGAAACTGTGCCCTGATCCTATTGAATTCAAAACATTTCCTGTTGGTGACCAGAGTTATACAATTAGCAATATATTCATGACCCTCTAGCTTCCTGGCTCCACAGCTTGATGCTTTTTGAGGTTGGGGTCAGAGGTGTATAGATCAAAGCTCTCTGCAAATGTGCGTTGCTGATCATGAGAAAGGCCCTGTGCGAGAGCACAAGAGAGGATTACTACAAATCAGTGATACCACAACCATTGGAAAAGCAGCTTCAAGATGTGCCTGTTCATTAGGTTGATGGCATTCCTGTCTCATGGAAAAAATTATTGCTTAGTGATTACTTACAGTAAGCTTCAAGACGGAAAGCAACAAATGAAGTGACTGTCGCACATCCCGTCTGGCAGGCTGTGTATGTTTCCATGGTTCAGTCTTTTACAGGCCAGTGACATTTAGGCACCCTTTACCAAATTCCTGATTGCTCAACACACACTGTGATATTCTCTTTTCTCAGGGGAACTCCATTCTACCATGACATTCCCTTACTTGGATTTACCTGAACATTTGCACATACATAGTCCCTAAGTGGGACAGAGTAGTGGCCATCCTCAAGTCACCCTATCTAGATTTGAATCACAACTCCTCTATGAGCTGTGTGACCTTTCTGCAATTTAATACAGAGGTTGGATGTGAGGGCTAAATGAAGGTAGACATCTAAAAGTGCTTTTCAACTGTGCCTGGCCACAGCCCAACTGCTTCCTTTTGTCACCCAATGCGTCACATCATTCATTAATGATGCCCACCTGAACATTTACATTGTGCTGTTTAAGCGCCTTCTAAAGCTTCCAGTTGAATGAACTGCTTGAGCCTATTTTTGTAAATACATTGATTGGTTCAATCAATGAATATTTGTTGAGTGTCTGCTGTGCGCATTGTGGACAAAGCAAATAACAGAAAAGGCCAGTTTCTGCCTTCATGAGTTTGGATTGGTCATGTTCCTTGCTATGGCTCTTTCTCTTCCATTTATTAACACTTTGACCCTTCACTCCCTTCTCTTAATTCCATTCATTCAACCAAACACTTCTGAACACCAACTCCATTTAAAGCCCTGAGCCTTGCACTGTGAAAGACATAAAGTTGACACAACTCCTTCTCACACAGACTGTACAATTTTTGTCCTTTTCTCTTGTGTTTTACATCAGGGCTCATGAACTTCCCAGACTCCCGAAATAGTGATTTGTTACCAGTTTCCCAGACCAAAACCAATATCAAATAATAGGGCCTGTCAACCCCACAATGCAGCACTCATGACTGTGTTGCTGGGTGCTTTGGTGTGGTGAATATATACAATGTGGTTGCATGCTCAAGGGCAGGGCTCCCATGACCCCAGGCAGGAAGAGAATAAGGCACTCCTGGGGCCACTGAAGAGACTTGTCCCATTTGAGTGAGTCCTGCTCCCTGAGGTCCCCATGAACTCCTCCTGCTTCCCTAGTATCACACACTCAACTCACAATCTCCTGTACTCCATGGGCATTTCAGCTCTTCTCTCTCCCTTCAGGGAGACTTTTACTGCCTCTACTCGAGCTGGATGCCCTGCCTTGTCATTTCTACTTGGCTGGTTCCATTTTCTTCCCTACCCACATCCCAGTTTTCTAAAAATTGCCCTTGAAGAAGGAGTAGACCTATGTGGTCATGTGTGAGAGAGGAAAATGCCACAGGTCTTTGCCCCTCTAGAGCCTGATCAAGGATGGTCCCCAAATTAGAGAATTCAGTTGTAGCTGGACTGGGCCAGTCTCTTTTTCTTGTTTTGTTTTGTTTTGTTCTTTTTTTTTTTTTTTGAGACAGAGTTTAGCTCTTGTTACCCAGGCTGATGTGCAATGGCACGATCTTGGCTCACCGCAACCTCCGCCTCCTGGGTTCAGGCAATTCTCCTGTCTCAGCCTCCTGAGTAGCTGAAATTACAGGCATGCACCACCATGCCCAGCTAATTTTTGTATTTTTAGTAGAGATGGGGTTTCACCATGTCGACCAGGATGGTCTCGATCTCTTGACCTCGGGATCCACCCGCCTCGGCCTCCCAAAGTGCTGGGATTACAGGCTTGAGCCACCGTGCCTGGCCTCAGTCTCTTTTTCTTTGTCAAGAATTTGAATTAAGAAACACAGGAGGGGGGGTGGCGAGAAAAAAGTTAAAAAAAAAAAAAAAAGAAACACAGGAGATCTATCATCATTGGTTGTGGACTTGTGAAGATGTATCGACTTGTGGTTGACAATCAGGCTGGGCCACATGCAAACAGAGAATTTGGTATGAGAGAGGAAAATGCCACAGGTCTTTGCCCCTCTAGAGCCTGATCAAGGGTAGTCCCCATATTAGAGAATTCAGCTGTAGCTGGACTGGGCCAGTCTCTTTTTCTTGTTTTGTTTTGTTCTTTGTACAGCCTGCATTTGATTGGTTTAGATTGGTCATGTTCCTTGCTATGGCTCTTTCTCTTCCATTTATTAACACTTTGACCCTTCACTCCCTTCTCTTAATTCCATTCATTCAACCAAAGGCAGAGTAGAATCAGACTGACATGGAGAGAAGCAAAGATGACAAAAACCACGAGGCCTCTGAGAGATGAAGAAACTGCTTTGTTCCTTGGCAACTTCCCAAGGCCAGTTCTCATGAAGCCTGGCTTGACCTCACTCGTGTGGTCATGAGACTGCCCCTGGCCTCTTACAATATCTGCCTTCACTTAGCTGGCTTGAGTGGAGTTGTGTTCCCTGAAATCTGAGTGCATTCGTCTAAACACATCTTTCTATATAGAATTCTCTTTTGGACCGGGCACGGTGGCTCACACCTATAATCTCAGCACTTTCGGAGGCCAAGACGGGTGGATCGCGAGGTCAAGAGATCGAGACCATCCTGGTCAACATGGTGAAACCCCGTCTCTACTGAAAATACAAAAAAATTAGCTGGGTATGGTGGCGCGTGCCTGTAATCCCAGCTACTTGGGAGGCTGAGGCAGGAGAATTACTTGAACCCAGGAGACGGAGGTTGTGGTGAGCCGAGATTGCGCCATTGCACTCCAGCCTGGGTAACAGAGCGAAATTCTGTCTAAAAAAAATAGAAATTATCTTTTGGTTCCTGTCAGATTTACCCCTTCCATAGAACTCTGCTCTTGACTCAGACTCACCTGTAAAGGTGTGAACTCAGTTTTCCACCCCTTGATGAAGCTGCCTTTGGCTCACCTGCCAGGAAATGTCCTGTGATGAGATACCTGCATGCCCCCAAGGGTTTCAGCTGTCTCTTCTCGAGTCAGTCTATTACCCAGCACTGCAATTATATACCCACAGGTATTTACTAATTATAGCAAGAGTTTTAAAACACTTTCTGGCTAATGACTTTGAAACACATTTTAAAAAGCGGTGTTATCAGTTACAAGAGACTATAATAGTGACAACATTCCTGATATGTGTTACAGGTTTTATGTGCATTGCTTCAACCATGGCAACCTGAAGAACCATAACAATAAACATGCTTATCTGCGTTGCTGTGGCCAATACTGTCTCCTTCTTTCCTTTCCAGGGATAAAGGTGACAAATCTTTTTTCAAATATAGTTTGTTCTGGTTTGTGGGAAGTACTGGGCAATCAACATACATGAAGAGAAACCTTACAATATGATGGATATTTGCTGGATGTCAGTTCAGATCACATGTTTAATCAAGTACTTGGGTAAAGTGGGAAACTGGAAGATCAAATGCAGGCTGTACAAAGAACAATCAGGGAGTTCACCTAATAATCACTCATCTAAAACCAGAAAACTTGGTTATTTACTTGACATTGCGCAGAACCAGAATTTAGAACAATGTCACAATTATTTTCCAATATCCTGTTTTACTCAATGGATCTCAGATGGAGAGTGTAGAAGCAACTAATCTCCTCTGGTTTCTGCCCCAATTAAAGACAAGCGACTCCTTTTAATTGCAAAGCTGTTTACAACTGTCTTTGGGTATTATTTACTCACTAATCAGGTCCTCAAATAATCAGCAACAGGCTAAGAGGATCTGGGGAGGCAATTGTGTAAATCTTTTGGATTCCTCAGTTTGGGAATCCAAACTGAGAGACTGATGTAAGTCTCTCTGTCCATATTGTTTCAGCCACAGGACAAAGAGAAAACACGATATTTAAAGAAAAGCGCCGGGTGTGGTGGCTCATGCCTGTATTCCCTCAAGTGATCCACTGGGCGGAGACTGCAGTGAGCCAAGATCATGCCACTGCACTCCAGCCTGGGTGACAGAGCCAGAGTCTGTCTCAAAAAAAAAAAAAAAAAAAAAGCCACAAATGAACAGCTAAGACATTCCCCTTTCCTCTACTGAATTAGTACTGGGAATCTTTCCAAGAAACTTTGTATCAACTTGATTTTTTTTTCTTTTCCAGGATTTGATCCTTTTTGATCCAAAGTCATATGAAATTGGGTTTTATTCTAGAATTTGGTTTTTTTAAAAAGGTACACAGGATGTGTCTCAAGGGTGACATACAAACACAGGCAAAGTCTTTCTGAACAGGAATCTCTACTTTAGGATTTTTAAATGCAAAGGAAAGGCATGAAAAGGGTAGGGTAAAAATTGCTCTTTTTTGCCCAAAGATATTTCTCAAGAAGAAAACATAGTTATAATTTTTTTTTGTTTTGAGACAGTCTCACTTTGTCGCCCAGGCTGGAGTGCAGTGGCATGATTTTGGCTGATGCAACCTCTGCCTCCTGGTTCCAGGGATTCTCCTGCCTCAGCCTCCCAGTAGCTGGGATTACAGGTGCCTGCTACCATGCCAGGCTAATTTTTTTGTATTTTTAGTAGGTACGGGGTTTCACCATTTTGGCCAGGCTGGTCTCAAACTCCAGACCTCATGTGATCCACCCGCCTTGGCCTACCTAAAGGGCTGGGATTACAGGCATGAGACACTCTACCCAGCACAGTTTTAATTTTTAATAAGAATAAAGTTTTAACAAGGAAGAGGAAAAAAGAAACAGACCAGAAATTTTCATCTCCCTTTCTCCCTCTACCCCATCAAATCATCCACCTAACAATATAAGAAGAATATCTTTTGCCTCAGATAAAAAGCAAAAGGGAATTGGGTATTTGAGTTCTTTTCCTAGGATCTTTTGACCCTGAATATGTCCCTTAACTTTAAGGATTCTGAGAATCAATTTCCTTCAATCTAGCAATTGTTTAGGCTACAGAGGGTCTCCTGCCTAGATTATAGTATTTCCATGTAGTGTTCTGTCTCACACCAATTTTGACTATACTTCTTAGAAGAATGGTATAGCAAAATGTAAAAGATTTTCTCTAAAAATGGAGTCCAGTGTTGGAGGTTTCAACATTTGGCCTTCTGTGTCAGTAGTGCAAGGCCCCGCCTCCATCAGAGACCCAGGGGAGCGGATGAAAGGGCAAATTTTGCAGGGGAACACAGGCTCCTCTATGCACTATTCAAGCCTAGTCAATAGCAACCCGGGCCTGGAATGTGCTCCGTGGAGCGTGCTGGGTATACTCCTACACAAAAGGCATTCTCCAAAGATAACCTACCTGGATTGAAATAAAAAATAATATTTAATAAATCCTGGTCTCCCCACGTGATGGCATTCTTGTACTTCTGGTACAGGGGGTATAACATGTCCTCCCAAGCAAGGCCTGTTGGAATCATGCTGTTCTGGAAAAGAGAAAACCATCAGAACAGCTGAAGCAAAGCAAATACACATTGTTCACTGAGAAACAAAGTAAAGGGACTGGTTTTCTTTCCTTTAGAGGAAGAAAACAAATAGAAGAGGGGTCCTGCTATCCTCAGGGCACAGAACAAAGCAAAATTTGGGCTGTTGATTGCATTTCTTTTGTCAGCTGTACACACGGATACTATATGCACCGGGGACTGATAGTTGAACCTGTGGCTTCCACTCAGAAAACCATGCCTGGAGTTGAACTCTTCCTTCTTTCCTTCTCTTCCCTCCCTCCTTCCTTCCTGTTTGTTTGTTTTTTTTTTTTTTTTGAGACAGAGTCTCGCTCTATCACCCAGGCTCGAGTGCAGTGGCACAATCTTGGTTTCCTGCAATCTCCACCTCCCGGGTTCAAGTGATTCTGGTGCATCAGCCTCCCAAGTAGCTGAGACTACAGCGGCACACCATCATGCCTGGCTAATTTTTAAATAATTTTTAGTAGAGACAGGGTTTCCCCACGTTGGCCAGGCTGTTCTCAAACTCCTGGCCTCAAGTGATCTACCTGCCTTAGCCTCCCAAAATACGGGGATTACAGGCGAGAGCAACCATGGCTGGCCTGAAACTGAACCTCTTTCTTTTTCTTTTTCTTTTTTTTTAATGATGGAGTCTCACTCTGTTGCCAGGCTGGAATACAGAGGCACGATCTTGGCTCACTGCAACCACTGCCTCCTGGGTTCAAGCAATTCTCCTGCCTCAGCCCGTTGAGTAGCTGGGACTTTAGGTGCTACTTTATTTTTTAAAATAAAAATATTCTTCCATATCCCATCCCCACTTTCCCCAGAAGTATTCACAATTAACAATTAATGGTCTCTTAGGTATTCTTCTGGACATTTCTTTTCCTTTCTTTCTTTTCTTTTTTAGAGACAGGGTCTCGCTCTGTTGTTTAGGGTGGAGTGCAGTGGTTTAATGCAGCCTGGAACTCCTGGACTCAAGCGATCCTCCCATCTCAGGTTCCCAAGTAGCTGGGACTACAGCCACATGCCACCATGACCCATTAATTCTTCTGGAAATTTCTAAGGCATAAAAATAATCACAGTCTACAGTAACATGATGTGGTGCATTTAATTTTCTTTCATTTAAAGTTTCTTAGAGGCCACATATGGTGGCTTGTGCTCATAATCCCTGCACTTTAGGAGGCCATAGCAGGAAGATCATTTGAGCCCAGGAGGTGGAGACCAGCCTGGGCAACATAGTGATACTGTGTCTCTACTAAAATAAAAAAAATCAGCTGGGTGTGATGATGCATGCCTGCAGTCCCAGCTACTCAGGAGGCTGAGACAGGAGGATCACTTGAGCCTAGGAGGTCAAGGCTACAGGAGGCTATGATTGCACTATTGCTCTCCAGCCTTGGTGATAGAGTAAGAACCTGTCTCTATCTTATTTATTATATAAGAATTTATATAATAAATTTCTTAGAGATCTTATTATCTCATTTACAGATCAACCTATTCTTTTGAATAGAAGGATGATTTGTTTTTTTGAGACAGCATCTCTCTGTCACCCAGGCTGGAATACAGCAGCATGATCTTGGCTCACTGCAACCTCTGCTGTCCCAATTCACATGATTCTCCTGCCTCAGCCTCCTGAGTAGCTGGGACTACAGGTGTGCAGCAACATGCCTGGCTAATTGTTATATTTTTAGGAGAGCCAGGGTTTCGCCATGTTGGTCAGGCTGGTCTCAAACTCCTGGCCTCAAGTGATCCGCCTGCCTTACCCTCCCAAAGTGCGGTGAGCCACTGCCCCCAACCAGGAGGATAATTTTTTGACTAGTTCTCCACTGATTTTCTTTTAGGTTCTTTCCAGTTCTTTGCTAGGATAAAAGATGAGATCATGAATATTCTTATATAAATACCATCAAGGACTTATATATTCCTAGGCTAATTCCAAGAAATTTTACAGTCTTTGAAGCATTGGTATGAAGAGTTCAAACATTATGGAATTCAGAAATGCAACATAATAGTCCTAAATGGTAACTCTGTTGAAACTTTAAATTCCATAGCCATCTGGGCTTTTCCTGAATAAACAAATATTCCATAATTTTCTAAATACTTTTATTTGGTTCCTTTTAACCTCACCTATGTTCTAGGTCACCTATTTCCACAATCAGCACGTTGACACTTTGGAAATGTCACTGTTGACAAGACTAACTCCCAGTCTTTAAACAAGGAATTTAAAAGCACTTGTTTACCTTGAACTGTGTACTTCTTATCCGAGTTAAATTCATTAACATGACTCCTGAATTAACTCCCGCAGAGCCATAGAAAGGATGCCTAGCAAAGCGGCTGTACCAGCCAATCTTGGGGATTTCATGCTCGGGGGCCATGGCTGCAAGCTGGGTGGAATTAAACAATCTCAGAAGCTTCCAGATGTCATCAACAGGTCTCAGAAAGAGAACATCGGTGTCCACGTAGAGAAGTGAGTCCACATCCTTTAAAATCACCTTTGTGTGCAAGGAGTGAGTATAAAGGGGAGAGGAGGGAAGAAAACAAAACAAAAACAGGTCAGAAACGAAGTGGTCTGATAGGTAAATAATGCTAGCCAACCTTTGTTGATTAATATTAAATTCTGGAAAGGTTCCACTCTTAGCTCCCATTCTTTCCTTCTTCTTTGACTTGAGGAATGAGTGTGGATCGAGAGGTGGATTCTTAAAAGAAGATAAATTTTGGTCTAGTTTAGCCCAATTATAGGACCGTGGACTATATTTGATAAGGGTTGAACTTACAAAGGAATAAAAACAGCAAATTACTGTGGCTCTCACTTCTTCCATCTCCGAATAAGGCCACTTGTTTTTCTCTCTTAGTTTTTCCTTGAAACATCCAGTGTGGCATTAGAAAACTTGAAGTGGACAATCTAATTTATTATTTATTTATTTATTTATTTATGAGATTAAGTCTTGCTCTGTCACCCAGGCTGAAGCATAGTGGTGTGATGTTGGCTCACTGCAACCTAAAGTTGACAATCTCTAAACCAGCTCATATCAAGCCTTGGGGGTAAATACTCTCTGTCTCTGGATCCACTGCTTCTAGTGTTAATGGGGGGGGGGCGCCTCCATCTTTAAAACAAAACAAAACTATATATATATGGTTTGCAGATGAGGGTCTTGCTGTGTTGTCCAGCTTGCAGTGCAGTGGCATGCTCTTGGCTCACTGCAGTCTCAACCTCCTGAGCTCAAATGATCTTTTCACCTCAGCCTCCTGAGTAGCTATGACTACAGCTATGCACCACCAAGCCTGGCTAATTTTTTTTTTTTTTTTGTAGAGATGAGGTGTCGCTCTGTTGTGCAGGTTGGTCTTAAACTTCTGGACTCAAGCGATCATCCCACCTTGGCCTCCCAAAGTGCTGGGATCACAGGTGTGAGCCGCTGTGACTCACCTAAATGATATTTTTAGCTATGATTTGGTCTTGGGATTAGGCAGCACAAGTCATTGGCTAGCTTTGTTTGTAAATCAGCAATCGACAACCTTTCTCCTCTAAAGGGCCAGAGAGTAAATATTTCAGGCTCTGTTTCTACTCCTAAAATCTGCTGTTGTAGCATGAAAGCAGCCATTGATAACAGACAAACAATGAGAGTGGGCCGGGCGTGGTGGCTCATGCCTGTAATCCCAGTACTTTGGGAGGCCATTACTGGCAGATGGCTTGATCCCAGGAGTTTAAGACCAGCCAGGGCAAATAGTGAAATCCCATCTTTATAAAAAAAATAGAAAAAGTAGCCAGTCATGGTGGCAAGCTTCTGTAGTCCCAGCTACTCAGGAACCTAAGGTGGGAGGATTGCTTGAACCTGGGAGGCGGACGTTGCAGTGAGCCAAGATCCCATCACTTCACTCCAACCTGTGTGACAGAGAGAGACTCTGTCTCAAAATAATAATAATTAATAATAATAATAATAATAGTGGCTGTGTCTTAATAAAACTTGATTTCAGGACACAGAAGTTTGAATTTCCTATATTTTTCAGATATCACAAAATATCCTTCTTTTGATATTTCAACCATTTGAAATATAAAAGCCACTTCTGGCTCACAGTCTGTGGTTTGCTGACCTCTGCTGTGGATGATTCAAGCCACTGTAGGTGAATGAGTTCTCCTGTGCGAACTGCTTAGCTTTCCAGAGCTTTGCTCGGAGATTTGAGACTTCAAAGCTGTACTTAGTAGTAGCGTTATTTGCCTTGTTTTGCCATTGTTCCCCAAACTTAGGGGTAGCTCAACCAAGGGAGGGTTTGAATCTTCTTGGATCCCTGCCCTAACATCATCCTAACACCATACACTGATGGACTGAATGTCGTGTCCCCAACATTCACATGTTAAAGTGTTCGCCCACAATGTGATTGTGATGGCATCTGGAAAGGAGCCTTTGGGAGATAATTAGGTTTAGTTGAGGTCAGAAGGGTTGGGTCCTCAAGATGGGATCAGTGCCCTTATAGGAAGAAACATCAGAGAGGTCTCTCTCTCTCTCCTCTCTTTCTCTCCTTTCTCTCTCTCTTCTCTCTTTCCTCTCTCCTCTTTCTCTCCCCCCACCCCTTTCTGTCTCTCTGTCTCTCTCTGCCATGTGAGGACGGAGTGAGAAGGTGGCCATTTGTCAGCCAGGAAGAGGCTCCGTCACCACAGCCGGACCATGCTGACAACCTGATCTCAGACTTCCAGCCTCCAAAACCATAAGAAAATACATTTCTGTTGTTTCAGCCACGAGTCTTGTATTTTGTTATGGCAGCCCAAGCAGACTAGTATAACATGCCACTGGGATCCCCAATATTTAAAATTGATGAACATGGGTACTCTGATATAAGTATCAAAGGAATTTCAGACTTGAGTAATTCTGAAACCCACATAATTAGCTACGGGATTTATCTGTTGTTCTTCATCTACTAGAGGAATGGATGTTACAAACCAATAAAATGAAATTAAAAATACTGATCATCTGCCATTTCATAAATGAAGATTATCTTAACATCCATTTTAATAATTTGAAGATTCTAAGTCAGGCACGGTGCCTGAGAGTCTGAGGCAGGTGGATCACTTCAGGTCAGGAGTTTGAGACCAGCCTGGCCAATATGGCAAAACCCCATCTCTACTAAAAATACAACAATTAGCTAGGCATGGTGGTGTGTGTCTGTAATCCCACATACTCAAGAGGCTGAGGCACAAGAATTGCTTGAGCCAAGGAGATGAAGGTTGCAGTGAGCCGAGATTGTGCCACTGCACTCCAGCCTGAGTGACAGAGTGACTCTGTCTCAAAAAAAAAAGGCTGGGTGCGGTGGTGCATGCCAGTAATCCCAGCTACTCGGGAGGCTGAGGCAGGAGAATCCCTTGAACCCAAAAGGCAGAGGTTGCAGTGAGCCGAGATTGTGCCATTGCGCTCCAGCCTGGGGGACAGAGTGAATGAGACTCTGTCTCAAAAACAAAAAACGAAAAACAAAAAAAACCCCAGAATTTGAAGATTCTGATTTCGAAATCAGGAAGAATTCTACAAATTGACTGCTTCTTCAACTAAGCATTTAATGTTTCGGCATGCTCATTTTGGTATGTAGATCATATTTCAAAGGAACACACAAAAGTAGCCCTAATGTTCCATCTCAGAGAAATGTGAGAAAACATCACTTAAGAATCTTGAGTCTGGTCTTCGTGAGTTCAAGTCTTGGCAGCCTGAGCCACTACCCCCGTGACTTCAGACAAGTTCCTCAGTTGACCACCTACCCAGATTGTTACAGGATGCAGTGAAATGAAACTCACAAGGTACTCAGTACAGTGGCTGGTACATAGTAAGCACTCAATAAACAGTGTTTTTGTAAGAAGTCTTTGTGTTTTCGCTTTTAAAATGTCAAGTGTAATTAGTTACCACTTGCATCAATGCTCACAGCACTTCAAAACATGTGTTGACCACAAAAAGCCTTTTATGTAGTCAGAGTCAAGCAGAGCAATGAAGTTTTTGAACCTTCCTAATATCATGATTCACTCAGAAGCTTGACTGAAAATAAGTACATAAGGACTTTTTGCTCTTTATCTGAAAAAATAAAAGACACCCCCCCCCCCAAAAAATCACTTTTTGATAGCATTGTATCTCCGGAGGCTAATTTTGCAGCAATTACTGCTCGTATTAATTTGAAGAGGATCATTGTTGGCCTTGTTATAACGGGAAGAGGAATATTTACTGAAAGGATATAAAATTAGCCATTCTAATTCCTTTATGGAAATTAGCCAGCACTAGCAATGAGGCCTTTGTTTTTTTAGAATGGGGGTGGGGTTAAAAGGCAGCACACAATAGTTCTCTGTACCCGACACTGCTGGCTGTAATGTAATGGATCTTCCTGCTCCCACTCCATGCCCCACCCCAACGTGGGCACCCACCTCCAGTGAACCCTGCTCAGCCATCTGCAGCAAGTGTGGGTCAAAGCCCGGCCACAGGCAGCAAGATGATCAGGGGTTCACCAGTGTACCTTCAAATTCATTTTCAACTTGCTGACTTTGACAGTATGACTTGGTGGTTAAAAGTTTTAGGTTTGAAATCTGACTACGTATGTTCAAATTCCATTTCCACCATTAACTGTATGATTTTGGGCAAGCTCTTTAAGCCCCTTTTCTTTTTTTTTCAGACAGGGTTTCACTCTGTCACTCAGGCTGGAATGCAGTGGTGCAATCATAGCTCACTGAGCCTTCGCCTCCTGGGCTCCAGTGATCCTCTCATCTCAGCCTCCTGAGTAGCTGGGACCACAGGCATGAGTCACCACGCCCAGTTAGTTTTTTTTTTTCTTTTTCTTTTTCCTTTCCTGAGAAGAAGTCTTGCACTGTTGCCTGGGCTGGAGTGCAATGCTGTGATCTCAGCTCACTGCAACCTCTACCTCCTGGTTCATGTGACTCTCCTGCCTCAGCCTCCTGAGTAGCTGGGATTACAGGTGCCTGCCACCACACCCAGCTAATTTTTTGTATTTTTAGTCAGGATGGGGTTTCACTGTTGGCCAGACTGGTCTTAAACTCCTGACTTCATAATCTGCCCGCCCTGGCCTCCCAAGGTGCTGGGACTACAGGTGTGAGCCACCGAGCCTGGCCTAATTCTTTTTTTTTTATTTCAAGACAGTCTCGCTCTGTCACACAGGCTGGAGTGCAGTGGCACGATCTCGGCTCACTGCAACCTCCATCTCCTGGGTTCAAGCAATTCTCCTGCCTCAGCCTCCTGAGTAGCTGGGATTACAGGCATGTGCCACCACACCTGGCTAATTTTTGTATTTTTAGTAGAGACAGGGTTTCACCATGTTGGCCAGGCTGGTCTCAAACTCCTGACCTCAAGTGATCCACCCACCTCAGCCTCCCAAAATCCTGGGGTTACAGGCATGAGCCACTGCGCCCAGCTGCTATTTTTTTTTTTTTTTTTTTTTGTCTTTTGTAGAGAGACAGGCGCTTGCTTTGTTGTTGGGTTGGTCTTGAGCTCCTGGGCTCAAGCTATCCTCCTGC